GGGAAGGCCTGATATCTGCAGGCATGGGAATCAGAGCTTAGGCGCTCTGCTCAGTGAAGCGGCAGTGTACGTGCTTCTAGGGCCTTGAGAATTAGCGCCTAGAGTGAAATGAACACTGGGACTATAACTGAGTGAAATCGCTAAACCAGAAAGAGAAGGAACGGATCTACGAGACAATGAGGCGATCCGGATTGGAGACCCGAGTCGGATCAGCCGATCGAAAGAGGGTGGGTTTGGGTAACTAGCACGTGTGATTAGGCCACACTAGACTTGCCACAAAAGGGCACACCTTTTGACGAGTGGAATGTAAACAAGTAAGAAGTTTTGATAATGCGGCAGTGGGATAAGAGGGTAAAGGATAGCTAGATAGGCTAGGACAGAAGCAGGAGTGATAGTGTAACCGTTTTCTGCAGAACGTTTGTCGAGGGATTGACTTCACTTGTCTCTTTGACGAGTTCCTAGCTTGGTACGGAGAATGGCAGCACTCACTGATGATGCCGACTACGATGCAGGCGAAACGTTTGAGAATGTACCGAGTCCACTGCCTGATGCTGGGAATCATAACAACTACTATGGCAGACGACTTAGGACATGGTGTGTTCTACTAAGTCGCCCTGACAACAAGCCCAAGTTGCGACTTATATAAATTGAAAGGAGACTGCGACCATACCAGAGGCCACAACATCTTGGTCTTCATATCTTTAATCATGTGTTTTTCCCTTTTATTTGTCTACTTCATATCGTAATTATTTATCATGCTTGGCCGAATTGTTTTTGGGAATTGCGACAATTCATTAATAGGCCACGTTCTGAAATCTAATCCGGTACTTATGCTTCTAAACTAGATTGTTGAAGTTAATTAGGAGACAATATTAATAATTTAGTATCATATATATGAATTATTAGTAATATTATAATACTAATTAGAGGCAAATATTCCCGGATAGATGTGGACAGATAAATTCAATCAAAATATTCCCTATGGGAAAAAATGGCTACTTCATAATGACTTAAACTACTTAGATAGTCTATGGTCAGTGTTTTTGCCCCGGAACAGAAAGGTGTCCTTTAAATTTATAAGCCTTTTGTTTAGAGCATAAATAACTGTTTCCTCAGTAAAATAGCTTTGTTGAGAAAAGACGGAGAAGAGAGAAAGAGTGCTCTTTAATTTTGGAACAGCTTTGACTTGATCTGACCCAGGGAGATTATCCGCGGGGCAAGGGAAACTTCGGTGAGCACCTTCTGAATTTCAGCCCTTACTATACCTTTCCTGCATTCTCTTCGTACTGGATTATCTAGTGAGAACCTTCTCTAATTATTTACTTTCAAAGTTATCACGATCTTCAAGGTTAAGTGACAGGCTAAACGGACATTCAAATTTCTAACAATGATAAAGAAATTGACCCCCCTCATTATTTCCTCGTCCTCAATTTTCTAATCATTCCACAAATTCTTCTCCCCTCATTTATAAAAACATCTTTCTCCTTTTCTTTCTCTTAAGAACCTTCCCCATATTTTCCGCACCATCCTCTTTAAAATCCTCCTGCTCCTTCTCAGCTTGTTTACTCTTTTCCAATCTTATATCCTTCTCATTTCTTTCTCTTTCCCACACTCCTTTTCCAACTCCTTCAAACCCTCTTTCTTTCCTTCCTTTTCCTCTTTCTCATTGTGATCTTCCCCTTCTTTCTTCTCTTCTTATACTTCTTCCTTATCCTACTCCTCTTCAAATAGGCCCGCCAACTGTTAATTTTTCCCCATCATCATTTCCTTCTTCCTTATCTGTAAAATATTCGCGATTCATTTTTTGAATATCTTGCCGCTTTATATATCCATTTGCATCAGGACTGCTCTACTCGGTGTTTTTTGGTCTCATCACAAACATGCTATCCTACCTTCCCCAGATGCTGTTTCCCAAAGAAACGCTACACCAGCGGCTCATCAGAGCCTCTCTAGAACTCACTCAACAACTAAAAGACTTGAGAACATTGGTATGTGACATACTGTAGGCTATCCACATAAACCTAGTGGGAAGTCCTCTTCCTCATTGCTCGTAAAAATATAATAATCATGCTAATGCACTGAAAAACGTAAAAATTAAAGTTAATTTAATATCTCGTAAATAAATATATACTTTTTATTTTATACTCTCTTTCATGTACTAACAATCTGCATATATATACTATTTAATCCAGTGCCCTATAATATTTACCACTTTTAGGTGTAGTGACTATTCTTTAAAACATTTTGTAAACCATATAACACAAAATATTGTCTTTCATATTCATGAAGGAGTACTGGGCTTTGAATAACAAGATTATGCTTCCACTGTTTAAGCAACCACCTGGGGCACAAAACAAAAACTTTTCAGCTAATAGGGTGCACATGCCAGTTGTGTTCAAATAGCCGGTAGTTGAGTTGCCTTCTTGCAGGTGAAGCTAGTACTTGAATTTGCAAAGCAAGTTATGCCCACCTTATAGACTGACAGATTTCCTACAGTTTCTGCCTTTTCGTGGTCTCGTCAACACCGTCGTCAGGTTACGGTATCAGATCGTGGTCGACCAATCACCGATTAGCCAGACCAGCCGCGGCCAACTGGAACACCGGTCAAAAACACACCTCATGGCAAGGGTTTGACCCAAAGCATGCTTTACAAGGTAGACAAGACCAGATCGTTTCCTTCTGAAGATAAGTTATCGCCCCTAGAATTGGACATTCGCTTCAGAGTCTGTCCCTTCTATAACCAGAATGGGTAACTGCGGAGCACGAGCTTTTTCAGACATTTTTGCGCCCCATTTTCAGTCCGATCTCACTTATCAAGTAAGCTATTTGATCTGTAAGTAAGCTTCACGGGAACTTATGTTAACTAGTCAATTTTTGGACGGAAATAACGTTCAGATTAGTAGAATTTTCCCCATCTCCTAACAACGCGCCCACTTGTTATTTTTCTGAATTTAACACACAGTTGCAGGATTTGACCTCTAGACAGAAATCGAAAATGTCGTCTGACTATCCTCAACTGCCCGTCTCACTAAAGTGGTCCGAAGCATGCGAAGAAAATGGCAAACCAAACTACATCAAGTTTTTGAATGACCTTGGCATCACTTGTCTCCAGAGCCCTCCTTGTACTTCCACACGCCGTTTATGTGGTACTCTGACCCCTAGTGATAAGCAAAGACACCAGATTCATGAGACCGCATCAGGCAAAATCGAGCTCAAGGAGTCTGAGCAAAACAGACGCGAACTACAACTTTTGTCAACCAATCAGGAGCACTGCCACATCCCGACAATCTGCCAAGCCGAGGAGACATCGAGACCAACAATAAAGGACTCGGATTCCAGCTTGTCTTCGGGCTTGTTGCTGCAACCGCCACGCCTTAGAAGGGCTTACTTGCTCATGAAAGAGGCAGAGGATGCGGTATCCTGCCTAATTGGTAAGACGAAAATAACTGGGCCTCATCCTAACAGGCCAAACAGCTCAGCATTGTTTAGAATTTGGTTGGCCCGGAGCGTCCTATTCTTAGAGTAGAGCCATGCAAACCGATTTTTATGTTATCTTCTCAACAGTATCTAGGATTGGACTATCTCGTTTAGGGGAATACACTGACTTGTGCCACGAGGGTAAGGGCAACCAGGTCATTCCATCTCTTGGCTTCAAAGAATTGCACTGATAAACCCTTTATTCTGTAGGAAAATTTTCGATGAAAGGTTTAGTGGATTGGCCTCCCTAGATTCCAGGGAAAGATTGACTCAAGGAGTTTATTGCCGATCTGAACCTGGTAGTTCCCGGCGAAATGTTCTCTGAGCTCTATGAATCTTCGTTGAGATTGTGAATGTGCTTTGTGCTTTAATGAAATTTTACAAAGAAGTCCAAAACAATTTTTAATATGAAAATTCATTTTTCCATCATTTCTGGTTAATCTAGTATCGAGGTATACAATTTTTAACTGATTCCTTTCTGGAGTGATAGTGATTCTACGCATGATCAGGTGCTGCGAGGACTTGATTGCTGCAATAAATTCCACCTCCCCCAGACTAGACTGCAATTCTGACCTCGCATCTGTCGCATCGATTGCATCAGCATCCTCATCAGTACCCTCAGCAGTACCATAATCATGGATATATGTTAAGGGACAAACATTTCGCTTCAAGCCAAGATCAATT